CCCTCCAGGTGCCCAGTGCTGCTTGGAGGCCTCATGCAGCCCACCTTCCCTCCTCACTCCCTCCACCCACACCCTGGACAGCCCCATATGTAGCCCTGGTGGGCAGGCCCAGGAATGACTAGAACCAACAGGCCTCATTCTCAGTGTTCTGAACCAGACGTGTCACTTTGACTCGGGGTATGGGTCCAGAATGATTTGGACAGGGACCTGGCAGGGTCTTGGCATACATACAGTCGCTGCTCACTAAGTACAGACAGGACTCAAATGATTACCACATCATCAGGGAAGCTGGGTGGCTGAAGGGAGGGCTGGCTGGAAGGGCGAGGAGGCTAGGTAGGGGACTGTGTGGAGGGAGGGCAGGGCTAGGTGTATGTCAGGGGTTGGCTCGGTCTTGAAGAGAGTCTGGAAGGGGGTATGGAGGTACTAGGGTCTGGGGGAGGGCTGGAGGATAGGGGCTCTGAGAGAATAAGGGAGGACTGGGAGGATGGAGTCGGGAAATATAAGGGACAGTGTCTGAGAGGACATGGGAAGGTTGTGACAATGGAGAAGGAAATGTGAAGATAGAAGGTCTGGGAGGATGGGTTGTTGTGGAGGATGGGGCGTGTCTGAGAGGATGGGGTGGGGGAGGCGGGAGAATGCAGATCTGGGAGAATACAGGAGGGCTGGGAGGATGGGGGTCTGGAAGAACAAAGTGCTGTGAATTAGCCTTCTTCTGCATTTCTGGGCTTAGCATTCTAGTTTCAAAGTCACTTTAGGAAAGTGCGGTCTGAGTGAGGGCTGGGGTTTGTTGACACTGCTGTGGTCTTGAGCACAGTGAGGGTGGGGGATCCCCAGGGACCAGCCAGGGGAAGCTTCTCCGGCCTGGGAAAATGATGAGTGATCACAGGCCAGACAGGTCAGAAGCCAACAGCTGAGCAGGAAGTATGCCGTCCTCCTGTGTCCCCATAAATACTGTCGGTGCCCTCAGCTGCCTAGGCTCCCATCTCATCCTAGTGGGTTGCCAGAGGGAAATATAGATCTGGGAGGTATAGATCCACCTAACTGTGACACTTACCACCACCAGAGTGTCATCATCACCATTATCATTACTACTACCACCACCACTGTAAGCACCACCACTACCATCATCACCATGACTCCACCATCACCATCACCATGGCCATCATTATCACCATCACTATCACCACCATGACCTCATCATCACCATCTCTATCATCATAACACCATCATCAGCACCATCATCACCATGGCCATCATCATTATCATCTTCATCATCACCATGACCTCATCACCACCATCACTATCATCGCCATGACCTCATGACCACCATCATCACCATCACAATTTTCATCATGTCCATCATCATCATCACCATGACCACTACCATCAACATTTCACACATATGCGCTCACACAACACACAAGAAACATGTTTTGTTGAGTGGTCTCTAGTGCACTCTGGGAATCTCCAAGAACCTTAGCCCAGTTTTTATTTCTAGGCTACAAGTACCCACAAGGAAGAGAAGGAATCTTCTAGAAGGAGGAGTCTGCTACAAAACATACAATAGGACACAAGGCAGAAAATTTGTCCTTCCTCTCATCCTTCGTGTATGCAGCAGACACGTCCTGTGATTCACAAGGTGTCAGGAAGGGGAGGCCCCCAGCCAAGACCTCCAGGGCAGAGATCAGTCATGGCAGCTCTGCACAACCACATCCCATATAGAACATGCACTAGCCCACGTTTCACTCACTCACCCACTCATTCATTCAGTTATCTACCTTTTCATTCACTCATTTGTTCACCCGCTGCTCATCCATTCACTCCCTCCTTCACCTTTTCATTCACTCATCCCATTCACTCACTCCATTCACTCCCCACCTTTTCACTCGCTCACTCATTGATTCACTCCTTTATTCACTCACTCACTCATTGATTTACTCACTCACCTCTTCACTCACTCACTCATTGATTTACTCACCCACTGACTCGTTGATTCACTCACTCATGTACCTTTTCACCGGCTCATTGATTCACTCCTTTATTCACCCATTCACCTCTTCACTCACTCATTGATTCACTCACTGATTCACTCACTCATGTACCTTTTCACTCGCTCATTGATTCACTCCTTTATTTACCCATTCACCTCTTCACTCACTCACTCATTTGTTCATTCACTGACTCATTTGCTCACTCACCCATTCATTCAGCACTGGCCTTGTACATCCTTCTTATGGTGAATCTGTGTGGGGAGCTGGAGATTCCCAGCAATTCAGAGCTGACCCTGGCCTCAGGGATCTTGTAGACCCTGGGGACTGACCATGCCAGTCATTACTGACCAGGCTCAGTTGTCTCAGCTGAGGGGTGGAGATGTCATGGTGCCTGGGTCAGAGGTGGGCAGGGAAAGGGACAGGCAGAAAGGGATGACCAAGGTCACACAGAATGTGACACAACTCAAACACGGTGATGACAGTGATGGCTGCTGGCTCTACGGCACTGACAAGGACTAGTACCCTCGAAGCCCAGCAGCTGCTGGCTCCACAGCACTCACTGACAGGGGCCACGCATCTGGGCTCTCGGGGGCTCCAGGGCAAAGGAGCCCCCACCACAACCGGTTCTCACACCAGGGTCAGCCTCTGGGGCCAAAGGGGGCTGGGCTCTGGGTGGAGTGGTCTCAGCTGTGCTTTCAACCCCACAGCTGTCCCTCTGGGCTGACTCTGGTCTGGGTGTGATTCACTTGTAGCAGCCTCCATGTGGGTGACAGCAGAGCTGTGAGCAGGTCCTGCCAGGGGCCTGATAAGAAGCCAGCCCTGAGCGATGCCTGCACTTTTGCAGACCTCGCTGTGAGCAGAGGGGGAGACACAGGGACCAGGACCAGCTGAGGTGGGAGTGTTCAGTGTCTGCACCCCAGGCAGCCTGCCCGTGGCATGAGGCTCAGCGTGGTTCCTGCTCCAGCGAACTCGGGCAGGATGGTGAACCAACTCAGGGTCCAGCAAAGGTCAGCATGAGGCCAGCACCAGCAAGCAGTATACTTCGTTCCTACTTCATCAGTGTCCCCCCGCCACAGAGCAGTGGGCCCTCTGTCCTTGATGACGTCACAGAGCTGATGGAACCCTGTCCTGGCTGAGCCTGGGGGGCCTGGCAGGAGGGCCTCTGGCTGAAGTCAGTTCTTCACTGGAGTCGATACGAGGCTGTGGGCAGGGTGCAAACACCAAGTCATCAGGCCACACTAAATCACCACTGGGCTGTGGTATCAGAGCCCAGAGCCAAGTCAGCCATGGCCAGTGACCATGGCAGGGGAGTGGGAAGCAAACCTGGAATGACCCTGGGTCCCCGGCAGCATCTGATGACACAAGAGTTCCAGGCCAGGGACCAAAGGCAACTTTCACCCTAGTGGAAACCTGAGGACACAGAACTTCTGGGACAGGGACACAGGGTGCCATCCACCCCAATGGGGACCTGAAGACAAGGCACTTCAGAGTCAGGGACCAGTTCCCTCCAGCCCAGCGGCTGCTGGCTCTACGGCACTTACTGACAGGGACCACCCAGCTGGGCTCTCTGGGGGCTCCAGGGAAAAGTAGCCCCTACCACAACTGGTTCCCACACCAGGGTCAGACAGAGTCAGCCTCTGGGGCCAAAGGTGGCTGGGCTCTGGGTGGTCTCAGCTGTGTTGTCGACCCCACAGCTGTCCCGCTGGGCTGATCCTGGTCTGGGCGTGATTCACTTCTGGCAGCGTGTGGACTGTTATGAGACTGTCCTAGGCCACTAGATACTGGCAGAGACATCCCCACCCCCAACCATCTTATAATGCAGAGCCCTGGACCCTTGGGTCTAGCCCACTTCAGCCCCATGTTGGACAGACACACTGATGCCCAATAGTTCAGCCTGCTCTTGCCCCACAGCTACTTCATGAGGGCAGAGAACAGGACAGAGCAGGGCTCTGGGGGAAACAGGCCTGTGAGGATACCCACAGGGTCCCCCATAGGGGCATCGGAGGCCAGGGCTGCCCGACAGCCTGCTGTGACAGTGTTTCTAAGCACTGGACTCCATCCAGGGCTCTACTGGAACCTGTGTCCTTAGGGAAGGATCCTGGGGGCACACTGCTGCTGGTTACTGGTTACATGTATGAAAACAGAAAGGTTGGCAGTTCAAATCCACAGCCACTCTGAGGGGGAAGGTGCAAGCTTGCCTCCCACTGGGGTGCCAGGAGCCAGGTCTGACTGGACAGCATGGTTTAGGGGTGCTCCTGGCAGGGGAGGCCTCTGTTACAGAAAGTTTTCACTGCCTGCCCAGCCTAAGGGGCCCCGTGTGGGGATGAAGGATCGAGCTGGTATCAGGGGCCTGGTGGTGCGATGGGTTACACACTGTGCTGCTAAGTGAACCCACCAGCCGCTCTGCGAGAGAAAGACCAGAGTCTCTTCTGTAAGATTTATAGCCTCGGACACGCAGCTGGACTCGGTCCTCTGGGGACTGATCACATGCGTCCTGGAGGCAGGGAGCCCGGGAAGCACTGGGTGGGCGCAGGTCCTGACAGGAAGCCCACCAGAGAGAAGATGTCTGTGCTTGAGCCGAGGAATCCCAGTGGCCCCCCATCCCCGGAAGACGGGCACTGCTCAGCACCCCAGGAGGACGCTCCCCTCAGCCACCCTCCCCCAGCTGGATACTCCCCTCAGTCCCCCCAGGAAGACCCTCCTGGGTTGTCCTTGCAAAGGTCTGGTCAGTGAAACACGGAGCCCATTCCAGGGCAAGCGTCTTCCTAGCTCCTCAGAATGTGCAAAGTTCTGATTACAAAAATATTTTTCTGAATTAAAAGCAGTATATTGTCCAGGGGTTTGCCCAGTTCCTTGTCACTGGGGAGTCCTGCCAACCCCAGGCACGTGTGCTGAGCCGGGTGGAGGGGACAGCAGCCAGGCTGAGTGCGAGGCATTCACACAGCAGTGACCTCCTGGGGTCCTCCTGTGCCTGACGTGTCATCTGAAGGAGGGAGCCAGGGACGAGCATTACAGCTTTGGCTTCAGGCTCTGCTCGACCGGCTTGTTGGCGGTAAACTCGGTCCACCAGGAGGGCCGCTCCAGCACCTGGCTTCCCTGGAGGACAGCGGCCCACAGGTTCTGGTAGAGCTGGAATGACAGATGATAACCCGGTGACCAATGGCCTTCAAACGCTCACCCACCCCTCAAGTTGCCCGACAGCCGGAAACGTTCTCGGTGGAGTCTCAGGAAACCGTAGCAATTTCTGCTGCCTCTAAACTTTTCAATTTGAGGGTAGAAAATGTGAGCCGTTATAAAACCCCAAGAAACATGCCGATAGGCCAAGCCGCCCCTTGGCCCTCTGTCCAGGGTCCCTGTAACACTGTGAAGGACGCGTGGACAGCAGGGATTTCTGTGCATCTGTCCGCTGCATGCCTGGGAAGCTGTGTGCATGCTGCTTCTGCGCCTGGGGAGTGCAGGCCAGCCTTGCCCTGTGGCCCCTGGACACGAGGCCAGCGTGCAGGCCGGCTTACTGTTCACTCTCCTTCCTGGCCCCAGCAGCAGGAGTGGGCAGGCCCCCACAAAGCCCTCACCACCTCCTCCCAAAATGTCATTGCAGCTCACCAGAGACCCAGCTCAGGTGATGCAGCCCAGGTCACTGTCCACACAACACAAGTTTGTGTGTGGGGGGACCCACCTGTAAAGTGTGTGCACAATGGAACCAATGTCTGGGCAGGACCTCCCTCAGCTTGACACCTAGGCCTTGCTCCCAGGTCACTGGGCATCTCTGACTGGGGTCTCCTGGCTCTGGATCAAGTCTAACCCATGCTGACAGTGTCCCCCCATGGGGTGGTCTATACCCCTACTCTGACCATGTCCCCCATGGGGTGGTCTATAACCCCAAGCTGACTGTGTTCCCCCTGGGGTGCTCTGTAATCTGATGCTGACCATGTACCCCCCATGGGGTGGTCTGTAGCCCCAAGCTGACCATGTCCCCCATGAGTTGCTCTGTAGCCCCAAGCTGACCATGTCCTCCCTGGGGTGTTCTGTACTCCAATGCTGACTGTGTCCCCCCTGGGGTGGTCTCCAGGAGGCAGGGTCCCAGCATCTGAGGGCCCGTGGCTCTCTCAGGGGCAGCTCCTTCCAGCTGTTGTGGGTAATTTGGGACAGTCTGGCCAAGGGACACTAGTTATTGAATCATGCAGCGAGGGACGTCTGAGGTGGAGTGACCGAAGCATCTGACCACTAAGCAAGAGGGCAGTGGTCTGACCCACCAGAGGTTCTTCGGAAATGATGAGGTGCCCTCTTCCTGTGAAGATTTCCCTCCAGCCCAGTTCCTCTGAGTCAACCCAACTCTGATTAGTGTCAGAACGCTTGAAATCTGGCTCTTCTAGGCACTGTGTTAGCCCCACTGGGGTCAGGGTCTCACAAATCATCAACACCTGGGAGACGGGGGTGGAGAGGCTGGGAAGATGCTGTGAGAGATGGGGGTGGAGAGGCTGGGAAGATGCTGTGAGAGACGGGGGTGGAGAGGCTGGGAAGATGCTGTGGGAGACGGTGGTGGAGAGACTGGGAAGATGCTGTGAGACATGGGGGTGGAGAGGCTGGGAAGATGCTGTGAGAGACGGTGGTGGAGAGGCTGGGAAGATGCTGTGGGAGACGGGGGTGGAGAGGCTGGGAAGATGCTGTGAGAGACGGGGGTGGAGAGGCTGGGAAGATGCTGTGAGAGACGGGGGTAGAGAGAAGGCTGGGAAGATGCTGTGAGAGATGGGGGTGGAGAGGCTGGGAAGATGCTGTGAGACATGGCGGTGGAGAGGCTGGCTTTGCTTGCTGGTTTGTAACTGCTCTGAGATGAAGTTTGCTGGACACCAGAGACTTCTTGCATTCATGCTCCTGAACTGATCCAGGACTTTGACTGAGGAAGCGTGTCTTGCTGTTAACCTGGCTTGGGACTGCTGGACTAAACCTGGACTTGTACTGGTGGTATTCTTTGCCTCCCCCACTCCCTGACCCATCGCTCTAATAAACCCCACAAATGTGAATAAAGTGTGTGAGTCAATTTGCAATGAACACTGGACGCAGGGATTGGTAGAAACGGGTGCAGGAGCCTGTGGGGTAGTGTGTCTGGCCAAGCAGCTCAATGAGTCACAGGTGACTCGATGGCACATAACAACAACAAGCGATACCACTGACAGGGAACGTTCCCCTTTACGAAGTGGGCAGAAGTCAGACTCGGTCACCCCCACTGTATCCACTCCTTAACCAGGGACCTTTCGTGACCGTCTGCCAGGTCTCTGAGGCGGTCAAGGAGAATGCAGAGTGCCGGCTTTGAACGGCTGGTCTTTGCGTTAACAGCCCAGCACCTGACAGGCTACCTCACCAGGGCCTTGGACGCCCTGTGGGCAGTCTGCTTTGACCTATTGGATCCTGGAGTTGGAATGATCAAGGGCCTGGTTTGCCCTGGTTACTGTGCAAACGGATGCAAAACATGGGGTGGAGTGGGCTTTGGGGAGGAGGTGAGGTGAGGGGAGTGGGCGACTGTGCCCAGGTGTCCCTCCTGAGGGTGGGTGGTCACCACCACTTCATACAGCGGGCATTGGCACTGCGCCTGCATGCGAGCTCTCTGTTGGCCTGATCCACAGGAGTTAGCCGAGGGGGACAAGTGGACTGAGGCCCCAGAGGTGGCTGGGAGAGGAGAGGTACCCGTCTTCACCCATGTTCTCCAGATCCCTGACAGTCCTGGGAGACACTGGGGGCCCTGGTCTCAGACGTGCAGCTTGGCTCTCGGCTCGGAATGGCCTCAGCACCTCTGCATCCCCAGCTGCCCCCCTGGCTGCCCTTCCCTGTTCCCCCAGCTGCCCCCTCGGCTGCCCTTCCTCCTCCCCAAGCACCCCAGCTGCCCCTTGCAAACCCCCAGCTCCCACATGCTGCCCCTGTGGCTGTCCTCCCAGCTGCATGCTGCCCCCGCCGAGCCTGAGGGGGTGTTGTCTGCTCACCTCGCCATCAGACTTGCCAATCGGAGAATCCAGGACAAAGTCAGAAGGGGCCAGCACGTCCACCAGGGCAACGGCATCATCTTTCAGCTGTTTGGAAACAAACCACACACACTTAGCAACCAGGAGTCACCGTGGTGACCACAAGCAACAGAGCCTCAGCATGGCCGCCGCTCAGACCTGCTGGTCAGCTGAGCCGCGCAGGGCCCATCACCGTCACCCAGCCTGAGGGGCCCGGGGCACGTGCTACCCTAGCCCAGCCTGTGGTTACTGTCTACTTGCCCCACATAGGCCTCCTCCAGGGCGACAGAGTGAGCTCCCCAACCAGCATCTGCCCCCCACCCCCATCTCCTTGGCATTCACTGGCTGAGACACCCCCTGGAAGGCATGCGGGCCCTGGGGGAGCCTAAAGCCCAGTCTGAAGGCCGGCCCATCCATTAGCCGAAGTGCCAGTTTGGTGTGACACACACGTCACTCAAGGAGACTCCCCGAGGCTTCTCAAACAGCAGCTGCTTTCTTTTAAAGAAGGATTTCCAATGGTGAGGCTCACACCAGCCCCTCGGGGGGCGGGGCGGGGGACAATTGTGATGTTGGAGCTTAGGTGGGCACAGCCAGCCCTGGGCAGCCAGAGTGAGCAACCCACCACCCTGGCTGGGCTGTTCTCAGAACACATGTTCGCGTGCCCTGATGGCCACCCACCTCTGTCCCCGGGTCATCATGGGACCACAGGATGACTGTGACCATTGGCCTGTGCTAGCAGACAGGTGTGCTGAGCAGTGAGACGGGGAAGAGGTGCTGTGTTTTATCAACAGTGATCACCTGCACCATTACACGTTTTAAAAAGCGACTGTGTGTGCACTACAGCTGTGCGTACAATGAGACCATCTGGGTCACAGCTGTGCGCACAACTACACCATCAGTGTCTCAGCTCTGTGTACAATGACACATCAGTGTCACAGCTGCGTGTATACCAACAGTGCCCCAGCTGTGTGTACAATGACACCATCAGTGTCCCAGCTGTGTGTACACCATCAGTGTCCCAGCTCTGTGTACAACACATCAGTGTCCCAGCTGTGTGTACACCATCAGTGCCCCAGCTGTGCATACAACACCATCAGTGTCCCAGCTGTGTGTACAATGACACCATCAGTGTCCCAGCTGTG